GGATCGGAATATTTCACATTCACACACACACGCGCACGCATGCGCACGCCGAGTTGCACCAACCTCTCGTCTTGCTCAGTGATTCAGACTCACACACACACACACACACAACGGCGTGCTCTGTTCTCATCTACAGACTTTTCACTTCAAATAGCATAATTTTTTTCCCTCACAGCGAAGCTTCAACTTCTGACAAATGTCATTAAATACTTTATCAGAAGCATCCCGATAAAACCAACACAAGTTTCCAAGGTGTTGGCTTCTTAGTTGACAGGCGCCGTGAGCTAAATTTCTGCAGAGGAAATACAATGCAAAGTAACAACAACAAAATATATTAATGTCGCTCGGCTTAGAATTTTGTTCCTGTTCTGTCAAACAAACCAAAAGCTGTTAGCAGAAAGATCAGAGGTATAAAGTATAAAGGAAAGGTATTAAGAAAATCTTTCACATTCAGTGGAATATATATTCAGCTACACCTATTCTTTAACTATTAAAAACTACCTGAATTGCAAATACTGTATGACTATTTACAGTTCATGTACTAAGCATAAGTGTACATTCAAGCTTGAGACTGCAACCATTCATAACCTTGTTCTTAGGTTTCAGTTGTGTCCAGCATGGTGCTGCCATCACATTTTCACACCTCACACTGTTTGCAACCTCTGCTGATGAGTTTACACTGGAACAACTAGGGATGGGTATATGGGAAGTGGCTAACACTGAGTTGATTATATCAAGGCAGCTTGCAGACTTGACACCTTGCTGAATTTGTAAGCATTAATCGGTGGGGCCCTGTCACTGATCCGTCAGCTACCTGGATAATTAGGAACCACGGCTAACGATGCCGTCGGGAAGAAGGGAAACTCAACTTCTCCCCACCCGCCCACCCTCAAGTCATAATTAAGAGACTCCTTTTGCATTGAGGTGGCGATGGCGGCAGTAAAGGGGCATGTGTTTAAGAGAAACTGATGTCAGTGGAGAAGCTCACAAGGCGAGCCGCTCTCTGTGCATCCTGTTCAATCAGTGTGTACCTCATTGTGGCTTCAATCTGGATGTGTTGCAGAGTGCTTTAATTAAACATGTGCTGAGCTCAGCTATACAGAGAGATCATTAAAACGTAGCACTGAAGTTCGTTTATTGGAGACACTGAATCACACATATTAAAGAAATTAACAGCATCCACAGCCTCTCACTGTAATCTGAATACTTTATGTTTAGAGCGCTAAACTTTTTAATTAGTGGCGTCAGTGTGAGAGTGGCCAAACCCAGCCAGTTGCCTAACATTTCTATAAAGAGAGCAGACAAAGGCAAACTAATTACCGTCTTCGGCTATGAAGGAACACATTTCCACATGGTCATGTTTGACAGTATCACAGCATGTCACTTTTTCTCCCTTCATGATCCTGCACTAATTCTGTCAGTCCAGAAACTGCTCTCCCTGCTGTCAGTGGAGATGAGAATCCAGCACAGGATCAAATATTTCTAAAACTTTAACATCTAAGAGTGAAAGGGAAACTGCATGGATTTCAGATTCCCTTCCTAATTCAACCTAAGAACAGTATAAAGATGTTAGTCCCATACACTTGTATCCTGGTCCATCCCACTGTGGATTGGTCATCCACACTTTGCTCCGCCTCTTCCTCTGTCTCAGTCAGTAAAACTAAATGTTTTTTGTCAGGACAGGTAAAAAGAAAAAATATTATTTTTGCAGCTTGACCTTTTTAACTCCTGCGGAATAAATTTAACACAGTGTCACACTAACATGTTGAATGATTAGCTGACAGATTCATTATTTAGAGTGACAGTGTTTGATTTAAGATATTGTTGCTGGCAAACTAAAAGCAAGACTAGACGTTGAGCAATACCATTAATTTTCCAACAGCAATCAAAACTATGACCCCGTAATAAGGCAAATACAGAATAATGGCTGCTTTGTATATCTTATATACAATATCTCACATCTACTAATTAAACTAATCACTAGTTATCTAGCTGTAATGTGTATAATATGTGCCATATATAAAAAATATCATGGTACTGATATCATGCAGTTTTATAAGATGTTGATTAGCGCAGTTACTATCAAACTCTTTATTGTGTCCTTTTCTCTAGATATAAAGTCCACTTATACCAGCACTTCAAATGCAACCAACGATTCCCTTTGATTAATCGACTACTGTATAAAACTTTCCCACATCCCAAGGTGACTCCTTGTTAACAAACAAAAAATACAACATTTATAATGATATTACAACAGATAGTTATAAACTAAAACTAAAATGTTGTGCATTTTCTACATAATAAATGATGCAAATGATGAATTGATAATCAAAATGGTTGGTGATTAATGTTGTGTCAATTGACTAATTGTTTCAGCACCGACCTTGACTGCACATAATCAAAAGCAACACTAGCACAATAACATTAGCGTTGCACTTTGCTGTTGTCTAGTTAAACATAAAATTCAAAAACCAAAAGAGAGAAACAAAACAAGTTCAGAGTACCAGTCCCCTCCTACATTTCCATTCTCATAATAATTAATTTATATTACTGCATTGTTTGCCTTTCATTAATTACTTGAGGTCCTTTGAGAAATGCCTCTACACAACTGCACTTCAGTGAGAAAAGACAAAAAAAACTCCCTAAAAATGACGACAAATGACTGCAGCAAGTCTGTGCTGCTCAAATTGCACTGCACTGAACTCAACTGCCAAAACTAACAGATGCAGTAATGCGGTTCCAAATGAAAGAACACTGATGTATTGTCACTGGCCATAAACTAGATAGGGTACAGCGCCATTACAGGGTCTAAAATCATCACTGTGACTGATGAAACAGAGCCCATTTGAAATGGCATACAAAGAGGCATTGAAGCCTGTCTCTCTCTCTCTCTCTCTGAGGAGCGTATGCAACATTTTGTTTTAGTGCAACTCCAAAGTGACAACTCGAGGTTGTGGAAATATTTGCTAATGCATTGTAAAAATAGCCTCCGTTTATAGGTGTGTACACCATTTCATAGAAGAAGCAGTCCCACACACACACACACACACATTAGTAGAGAAGTTTTTTGATTGACCATATGTCACACACTGGAAATAATGCAGAGACAAAGCCTGCCAAGTTGGGATTGACCATTACTGCCTGTGATGTATGTGTCTGTCACAAAAACAGACAATTAAATCAATATTCAAAAGCTGAGCCGGAATGGGGCCACTTCAGAGCTAGCTGACTGAACAGAAGAGGCTGGAAAACAGGAAAACCAACACCTTCTTTGTGCCCTCTTTTGTGGATTTCACCACTATTTGTGGCAGCGGCATAAACCGACACTATTCATTTTCACTGAGCAGGCTCACTCTTCAAACACATTTCTCTCTATCCATCACTAAAGCCTTGCGTCAATTAGAAATTACAGCCCCACCGAGTTCAAAGTCTTTCTGTCACAACCTTGATTAAGTCTGCTTAACCTCACATTTCCACCGCCTGCTTAACATTCTACAGCTGTTTTATTCGGCTTTGGTCATTACTGCACCAACTTCAAAGACTCCTCTGCCCCCCCCACCCCACCCCATCATTTGAAAATGCATGTCAATCACACACACACACACACACACACACATCTACCAGGGACATCAAATGGATTCAGGCAAACATGCGATTCTCTCTCAGAACAGTTCATGTCTGGTCAACTTAATGACAACATGTAGGCACGACTGTCAAAAGGCAATATGTCCAGTGCTGAAGTGGAAATTGAGGCATTGAATTTCTATGAAAATATGTAATTTTTTACTTTTGCTGAGGTCCTTTCTATGACAAAAACTAATCAAAAACATCAACTTTTAACATGTATGCCACTCAACTGAAACACACATAAGTACTTTAATTTACATCCTTTACATTTTTCATTTAAAAGGTTACTAATTAATAGGTTAACAGGAAGTTAGTTATTAGCAAGTTCTGGATTTTTATTATCATGTGGTGTCATTATTTCTATGGTGATTTACAGAGCAATTTTGTGCTCCTAAAAGTGATTCTACAAACTTTCTCTCCTCATATATGACTCCTCTATACATTTGGTGTTGGATTTGGGGCAGCCTTTAGGACGTACAACACTTCCCTCTTCCCTGTATGAGATGCTTCTCTGTAATCTCGCTACGCCCCAGCACCCCTCCTCCCCCGCTCCCTCCCCCTGTGGGTATTAATCGCAAAGTATTTATCCCGCTTGAGAACTTTTCTTTCAATTTGTCTTTTCTTTGCTCCTCGGCGGGGGCAAAAGTTATCCTTTGAGCGAGTCCAGCTGCCGGCGCATGCGTGTCTCTATGGTAAATGATTTACTGATGTTTATCAGGAATGAATAGATCAAAGGCAGTCGCACGACAGGCGATCAATCAAGCATCAAATCAAGGATGGCAATCCCAGAACTGGAAAAAAGCCGAAAATATGACACTTTTCTTTCTCTCTCTCTGCTTTCTTTTTTTGTTACTGGCAGCAACACATCAAACACGCTAGCCTGTAAAAATGAGATAAGATGAGCTTTGTTTGGAGAACTTGGGTGCTGGCAACCTAGTGGAGGATCTGCTTTTAAAGCGTTGAAACTGAAGTGCAGCTGAGACAGATTTGGCACCGAAGCATGGCTGCGTAAACGAAACACAGCCTACTGTTGCCAGCCCAACATGCCTTAGATTAGCAGAAATAAACTTATTATGGGCTGTTGAGATGTAAAAGCGTGCATAAAGGCAGAATTAACCTGACATTAGCTTTGCTCCACACTGAATGCACATAGTGACTCGAGGGGAGTGAGAGAAGTCTGCTGTCTGTAAGAGGTCCTGTTGTCCTTGTATTGTGTCCTGCGCCAGGCCTGTGTGCTGCTCTGTAAACTTGTCTGTGCACCGAGTCTGAATCCTGGCTGTTTGTCGTGACTGTGCGGAGAATAGTCTAAAGAGTGTGTGCGTTTCTGATGGGGGGGTGGGGGGGGGTTGTTTGTTTAAAGAGCCGGGGCTTACCTGCTGACCGCCGCGGTGCTTGCTGCTTTCTCCTCGGCATGCTGCTGCAAGACTTTCCGCTTGACTTTTCATGCAGAGATCAAAATAGCGGACAAGCTGGAGAGGAAACCGGTGCAACGGGAGGAAATCAAAGCCAGCAGCGTTTCCTCAGTTCTTCAGCTGGGTGACAGAATTACACTGTAGATCCCTCGCAGGGTCAGGAAGTCTTTTTTTAAATCGATGCAAGTGGGGTTTTAATCTCTATGCGTCTCTGATCATTTTATAATCGGTATGTCCGGCGAGAAAAATGTAGATTACAAATAATTTAACGCAAAAGGGGGCTCGTCCGTGAACTTCTGCCGATCAGAGAAACTCATCGCAGTCTGGGTGGGTGAAAAACTGGCGGAAAGCTCCGTGCGGATATCAGTCTATCGAGTAGGGATATGGACAGCTGCCGGAACCCCTCTCCGCGTTTCCATCAAAATAGGTTTACACCCCCTCTCTGGACTATTTCATACCTCTATTCACAGGAAAAGTAAAGAAAATGGAGCTCCTCGTCTTATGTTTTAACTCGCTCGGCGCTGGAGATGAGTCCAAACTGCGCTGTAGTGTCTCTCTCCCTCCGTCCGTCCGTCCGTCCGTCCAGGTGCAAGCTCCGCGTCTCCAACCTCCGCTACGGTCTTTGGGAGGAAATCGGGAGAAAGAGAGGAAAGAGTGACACGTTAGCCGGGCTGGGTGTGTGTCAATCAGTCAAGTATGCGCACGGAGAAAACCCCGCAGCAACTCGCTCACACCCCGTCTCTCTGAAAACACCCACTGGATAATGAAATACTCACATACACGCTGTCCGTCCGATTGGCAACATGGGCACTTGACGAATTTGTCAGAAACTCATCACAAAACACAACGAGCCGGTCCGCCCTCTGAGCCACAGATCGTGGGTTAGTGCTCCCTGCTTTTTGTTTATTATCATTTATTCTAAAGAGCGCAACGAGCGTCCCCGGATATTCTCCGCAGTGAAATGTGCGCACATTGGTGATGCGCGGTGCGTTCAGACAGCTCCCACTGATAGACAGACACATCCAGCTGCCTTTCCGGCCTCTCCTTTACTCCACCCCTCCACAAGCGTCACCCTGACAGTCAAAGCCCACCTGTCAATCTGCTGCTCTAATTGTTCACTGGGATGGCTTTCATTTCAACGCCTTTCCGTCCCCGCACACACACACACACACACACACACACACACACACACACACACACACACACACACACACAGGAGATTCGCGTGTACGAGTGGCCGATTTGTAAACTTGCACTATAACAGCAGAATGAGAGGTGCCTCAAAAAGTTCACGCGCCGCCTACGCGTATGTGAGGGAGATTTTTAAAAATCTAAATGAGATTGGGTTTAATAGTTGCTGCAGCACAATTTCACAGTCAAGTCAGTAAAAGTGTCGTAGCCTATTAGGTGAGGATTGCAATCATATTTTTCATCGGCAATAAAACGATCTAATCCTTCCATTTAATTTGCAAACAAAATATAGAAAGAAATGCATAAAAAAGAGAGATCTCCATATAAAATTGTAAAAATAGACTTTGTTGATCCTTATGCCAGGAGGATAATCTTAGTACAAGCACAGCAAAATCAGGCTTGACTGATTATTGGGATTATACCCTGAAACATCAATCACTAATGATTCATATAAACAGTGGGGCTTAAAATTACATAAAGTTAATAAGTTTTTTTTCTTGAATAAATCTGGCTTTTTTTTAAACTCCCTGCTGATTGTGTTCTCACTCCTGCGCAACATTTAAGAAAAATAAGGAGTTTCACTTGTTCAAACAGTCTTAAGTGTGCAGGGCAGATCAGCTCTTTGCTCTGTTTCAAAGTTTGCTAAAAATGTGGGTATTTTCTGTGACCTCTTTACTGGGACAAAGGAGGCTGCGGATCGATTCGTTACACCTTTTTAGTGAGGCTTCTGGTGAAGGGGAGGGGCTCTGAATCCACAAGAGGCTCCATTAATAGCATACACTCCGTCCTAACTATTATCCAACATAAAGTGTTTATAAAGGGCACACAACTAGGCTAATGTTTTCTGAAGTGAGACCGCATAATACACCCGTTTACTGCAGCATCTTCAGGAGAGGATAGTGAAGGAGAGAGTGGGGGGAAAAGGTCTGAAGTTTGTTTTTACTACTTGGTGATAGAGTGTGCGGTGATAATCACAACAGAACTTGGATGACATGAGAACTGGCTCACTTCAGACTGCGCTCTTCTTCCTTCTGCGGCCAGCCAGGACTTTAGGACAATATCCACCCAGCTCTACACCGGCTCCAGCTCTGGCTACGACCGGATCATTTACAAGGAACTGGATTACAAACTTTCTGCAAACCGTCCAGTCAGTCCTGGTTTAACGGATTCTGGTGAGTTTCTGAATTTACCCCTCACCTCACGTTTCCACAGTGAACAGGTAATAAAAAAAAAAACCCCGCTGTCTCCTCCTCGTCACGCTCAGCTCCTCAGAAGATGTCTGCCATCTAGTTTTTTCGCTCGGTATTTTTGAGCCACTGCCTGTCTGCAACAACCGATAATGTGCGTAGAGAAGGTGCCCGAGGTCGCCTATTATGTAGTAAAATAAATACCAAGTACCGCCCTAAAACATCTGTCTATCCCTGTCTGTCAAAGCGGCCTGCGCGCTGATTGATGGAGCAGACTTACGTCATTAATGTTTCCATCCCAAAGTCTGCGGACGGACGGACGGACAGACAGGTGAGCTGCTGCAGCTCTCAAAAAATGTTCCTTATCTTTGAGATACTTTGTACAAATTTAAAACGTATGTATATTTATTATCCAGTCTGATCATGTTTGCGTTTTATATGTTATTTAATAAACAGCAGACTACTTGTCTCATGCAAACCACGGTTTAAGCTTTAACGCCTGCCAATGCTGGCTCCCTTACAATAATTGTTAATACTGTTGTTGAATGTTAAGTAAACTGCTTGGATTTGCTTTTCTGTGAGGTAAATCCAGTGTGACTGTGTACAGTGCAGAACTGTGTTTAGAAAGGTAATCATTACTGCAGCACCCTTATTCACAAAACCAAAACATAAAATGGCTGTAATTATACCATGGATGAAGATGTAAACTGCTTCACAGCTTCTGAGTGAAGTTAACATTTTTTATAACACAATTTATTTGTGGTATTTTTTTGTGTCACTGAACAATATTAACCATGTAAAAATAAGAAAAAATCAAGGGATACTTATCTGATCATTCATCCAAATTACATCATACTTTTTAGCTTTTAAACTTTTTTCAACTTTTAGTGCTCATGAAAATGTAAGGTCAGTGACTAAAAATCAAGAATAAAATGAATCCATGAAAACATAAACTAGACTATATGAAGTCACCTTTATTTTTTGGGCATTTAGTGAGGAAAGCATCCTCTATTGGTCTAAAGGTTGTAGGTTTTTAGGGGGCAGGGAAGCTTGTACAGGATCTGATCCTGGGCCAGCAGGGGGGGACATGTGGTTCAAAAGGCAGGGGTAGTAACCAACTCTGCTTTGAAATATCTGCACAGGATTATTAAGAATGAGAGCACGCTCACATTTTCATTTTAAAATAACAACGTTTGAAACTATTTTCTGTCTTTATAGTACATTTCTTTAACGTCTTTCTCTTTCTTCTGCAGCATCTTGCTTATGTTCATTCACTGCCTTTCTTTCCTCTTTTCTTCTTTGTCCCTCATCTCTTAAGATGGCATGACCCTAACCCTAACAAGTGGGCTCTTATTTTGTAAATATATATACGGTGTGTTTAATGTACAGTGACTTCAAATATGTATGTATTTTTCCAACTGCCAGCCACATTTGATCAGGACATTATGATATAAATTGCTAGCTACAGTAGTTACACTACCCACGACGCAGCCGCCTGTGTCCATGTGCATGTATGACAAAAGCCGAACACACAAACAGTTGTTTCCCCACCACCCCCAACTTGTATATATGAAGCTGCTCTTCCACAAACTGTGGCACAGTGACAGTGTGATGACATGTCGTCCTGTTTCCTTCTCTTCTGCATGATGACACTCCCTCAGCGCGGGTGAGAACATCCATGTAGTCGTCACGTTTATTTACATACATTACTCTCTTCTTTCCTTTGTCTCTTTCTTTTTTTTTTCTTTCTAGGTCTGACATGACCATCTAAAGTGAAGCTGTTTAAACTATCCACTGGATCGTACTGCAGGGTGTCAAATCAGGTGAGGGCTCTTGTTCATACTCTCAATCTCACATGACCAAATCATAACAAAAACAGACAAATTTACATTTAGTAATAGCATATAACAGCTGATAAACTTAACATGTATGTTTATCAGTTGTAAAACACATTTTCACATGAACCGCATTACAATTCTTAATAGGCTGTATTTTCATTCTGACCTTTTATGCCATCTAACAATTCTTAAAATCTAATGAGCAGTTAACAAATAAATAAATAAATAAATAAATAAAACCAAAGTCATGCCTTGAGGTTTGTGTGTTGAAGTCCTTACATAGGTCAGGGTGTGTTACCAGTCAAACATGCAACACAAAAAATATGCAGCTTTGAAAATGTCCAGAACGACTATTAGTGTTACCTTAGTCTCGTTTCTTTCTCCTTCTTCTCTCTTTATCATTATCATCACTGCCTCAGAGAGCATCACATGATCCCCTTTCTGATACAGAACTGATTCTACACTGCTAATTATATAAAACGCGTGTCGCAGCCACACACTGTAGCATGATATAATTCATTTGCCATTTTCTTTTGACATCAGTAGACAAGCTAAAAGAAAACAGTAAAGAGAAGTATGACAAAGTATACAGATTATTTATTTATGTCGACTGTATGATTGTCTACGTGTAGCACCTTATCACCACAGCAAATTCCTCGTATGTGTAAAACACTACTTGGCAATATAGCTCCTTCTGATTCTGATTACTATATAATTATAATGCATTAATTTGGTACAATTGAGGCATTTCTGTTTCTTTTAAGGATATATTCTGTATTACCATGCTTTTATGGCAAAGTATACTGACCAAAATCACAGCGGCATAACCAAGATCTTAGTTCCGACCTCTTATTATTCATAAATAATGAATGCTGTGTTGGAGATTTTGGCCAGTGGCTAACCACCTGAGCTATTTTACAGCTATTTTGTCGAGATCTGCCACAGCGCCGGACTTCAAAACTTATCCCTTGTGGACTGAAATAGAGCGTAATCTTTTCCCTTTGTGTCATTCAAACAAGTTAACATTTGGAATGATGAAGGCTTACAGCTTATGATAATGCCTCTCTTCATAATCTTGAGTAATCTTCAATCAATGATGGGTCCTATCAGATTCCAGACACTCATTGACAGGCTGAATATAAGAATATATAATAAAAATTAATAAAGAAGAGGCTCTAACTTTGACATGAGCTATATCTCCACATCTATCAGATAAGTCTGCATAATTAAAATGCCAAGTATGAGTATGGAGGAGGTGGTGGGGGTTGATATTTTATAGAGATTTACTTTTCCGCGACTTGTTTAATGTGTAGACTTAAAAAAATTAATGTGTTGCTGTAGTTTTGACAATGCAATTAAAGGTTTGTAATCCCCACCTGAGCTTTTTTGATTCTGTCAGTTTGGACGAAGAATGTGATGAAACGCTGCGCAGTGGTGACAGATGCAAGTTTATTAAAGGATTCAAGTCTCGCAGGGGATTCAAGGTGGTATTTCATACCAACACGAAAGAGGAGAGGAAGCAACTTCAGCTTGTTTACATGAACTGTGAAATAATTGTTCAGCAGAATATACACCAGCAGTATCCGAAAGCATTTCTTCAGGATTTTTTTTCCTTTTAAACATGAGCTACATTACATGCCACCACAGGCAAAGCTTTATCTGAGATTTCCTGCATCTTGGAACAACCTTGCTAAAAAATCCAACTCGGCTAAATAAAGTGGCATATTTCACGTTTCAAAATACCAGCCTCTCTGACATGCACACTCCTTCCCTCTCCTCCACCCTTGCCTTTTGTTTTCTTTGACACGTGCACTCCAATTAGCATTTTCCAGCCATTAAGGAGGAGAGAGAAGGAGCCAAATGTTTGTCTCACCGAGCTTCTTTTTTCCGTCAAGACTCTTTGAGCCTTAGTAAAAAAACAAAAAACTAACAACAAAAAAAAAAACATTCAGACAGACTCAATATTATCCTCAATGTTAACATGATCTTCTTCACATAACAATTACCAATAGCTTTGTCTGGGAAACTGATGTGACAGTGCAACCACTAGCGTGTATGAGAGCCGTTGTCAGTCTACATTTGGAGCAATTAAAATTATTAAAATTACTTTTTATGAGAGAACACAAGCAATGAGGATTATTTTCTGCCTTTGTGACATCCTGTAACATTTTCATTTTGTAAATATTTCCATCTCTCAGATGGAGGACTACGTTTCCATGCACCATATGGCTTCTCAACTCAAGGAGCTTCCTATAACCTTTTCACGATAAAACACACAACAGTCTCTTGAGGATTACATGCAAAAACTGTATCACAATGTTTAGTTACACAGTAAGACTACAGTTAGCAGTCGAGCTGTTTTCTTATCAGCCCTCTTGTCAAATTAGTGGTTTCTAATCTTCAGCTTTATTCCTAAATTTAAATCTGCGAATCTCAAATTGCACAGATCCCTTGCTGCGGGCTTTGGCAGGAAAAATCTGTCATTGCTGCTGGTGTGCTGTACATTAAGGGAGAAAACGCTCTTAAAAAGGTGCTTTTCTGACATTAAAATGACTTGTGTGCACAGCGCATGTTGATCCGTGCAGTTCGAGGCATATATTTATGAATAGGAACCTTTAATTAGGGCTTGTGTTTCCTCCCTAGTCACATTGAGGGATGGTCCTCGCCGACATTCATTAATGATAATCACCAAGAGCGATGGCATAGCTACAGGCCAAGTCTCAGGGGACCCGACACTTGAAAAGAAGCATTAAATTACACAGAGGGACTCTTTAATTGCAAAGAGGAAAATATATAGCCATCATTGTTAAATATGATCTTTTGTAAGCCTTTACTGGTTCAAGGATTTGTCTAAGGGTTTCTTATCCTCAAACTCTTTCAAAAGGAATCTAGAGCCACATTTCTGCGATAATACACCACAGGGCCCTTTTTAAAAAAACACTTCTCTTCACCCCTCTTGGTTTTCTATATTGCAAACCAAGCACAAACTGTGAATATATGCCAGTTTTATAAATTTGCATTATGTTGTAAATTTAGATTTGACATGTACATCGGCTTCCTTGTGTAAGATTAGAGCAGACTCATATGGGACCTACATGTGACCAATGCAGACAGACACCAGCTACACAATGTTTGGAAATCCATCTTTAACACTTTTAACAAAATGATTGGAACAATCACCAATCATTTTACCTCGTTTGCAGTTGCCCCGTGGGTTGTTTCACATGTGTGAGTCTCAGGCCAATATGATGTTCACTACTAGGAGAATGATGATTCTGTTTTAAGTGGAAGGAGCCACTGCCACCAGCATACAGACATTGGGTCAAGGGGGTCATGAGTTACATTTAATTAGAAAAGATTCAGTATTCCATTAAGGGCTTGTTCCTGAAATGCTATTCTGCCATTTTGTACCTTTTTGTAAATAGAAAAACTGGACTCGTAACGTACCATTCATCTTTATTTATCTGTTTAATTTTTGTTGATATTCTGTCTTCATTTAGTGTCCCTTTTTCATGTTTTACCCAGTGCCTCACCTATTTTTTAATTTCAAATTCTGAAAATATTCTTGTCTGGCAGAATTGATATTGTTCTTGTAAGGATGGGAAGCAAAACATTTAAACATATTTGTTTCATATGTTGTATATGCTGTTTTTTGTTAATGAAATGGATCTTGATAAAAAAAAAATTATTTTGCATGAACACACACAGACACACGCAAACATACATTTGTACCCATACACACCCAAACTCCTGACCTAATTGCTCAGTCTCACTCAACTAATTAATCACAGCTGACTTAACATGGTGACAAGGTTAGGTAGGTGACATTCTCGAAAAATCTGTCTTTCTGCTTCGTCTTTTTACTTTTCCCTTTCAATAATATATCCTCTCTTTTCTTTCGCTTGCTCTTTCTTCACCTTTTGCTTATCTTCTTTCCATCTTTCTTTCTATTCCTTTCTTCCAATTTGTCTGCTTCATTTGTTCCACATTTCTTTCTTCCTTTTCATCATTCCATTCTTTCCTCACATCTATACTCAGATGATGTCTAGTTAACTGGAGAGCATAACTTGGCCCACTTCTATTTTTACCTGTTATAGGGGGGTGGGGGAATGCAGAGGTGAGAGTGGGCATGCTGGGAAAGAAGGAGGGTTAGGGGCGGGGTCACAATGCTCCATTAATCAAAAAGAATGACACTCATGTCGTCCCTGACAACCATCCTGCCACTCGTATGTCTGTTCCCTTCCTCCTTCATCCCACTCAAACAGGACAACTTTAGTGATGGGGAGGGTGAAGAGAATGAACGAGAGAGAGGGGGAAGGGGGGTGAGCGAACTTTATTAATCAAGCATCTCAGATTAATTGTTATGAAGTGTCACCCATAAATTCTCCATTTGGATTTAATAATCTTGGAGGTAGACTTAACAATCTCTGTCGTGATTTGAGTTTTATTGAAGAGGCTGCAGAGAGAGAGGGAGAGGCAGAGAGGGAGAGAGATGCAGTGACACAAATAGCTTCTCAGCGGACAGTCCCTCTCCGTATGACAGTTATGAAATACAATTATCAGCGAGATCTACTTAAGAATTCATCAACTGCACCCCTGCCTTCCAAGGAGAGCAGGGAGAAAAAAATCCTACATACAAAGCAAGTCTTAACTGATAAGACTTCTCTTTTCCCCGTCGTCCTTAAACTATCATTTCAATTTTTCTCTGTCTCCGGCATGTTAAGTCACTGTAAAGGTATGGTACGCATATTGCTTTGATAGGCCCCTGTGCATTCTATTAAAGTATAAATCATTAGGTAATCAGGGAATATGGTAAATGACACACCACATGCAAATCACCTAGGTAGTGAGTAGTTTGTTTGAAATGTAACACCCGTTGGTTTGCATCAGGGTCAATAAAATCAGTTAATCTCCCCGTGCAGTGAAAATATACTGTCACTGAAATGTACAACACCCTGTCAGCTCTCAAAAGTAAGAGAATCATA